TTTTGAAATGACTATAACTTTTGGTTTGTCTTTTTGTTGGCTAAGATAACTGAATAAGTATTGGAGTTCTATACTAATTTAAAGATATTTTTATAGAATATTATTGATATTTCACTAAAATAATTTTAATCTAGTAGCACTTGATCAACTCCCTATGGATATGACAAAGTGACTGATGAAAATAAAATAGGAATAGTAATAATAGATATCTTTGTCATTAAGTAAAAAACAATTAAAGCCTGAAGTACTTTTTGTTATTAAAAAATTTATTTGGGGCACCCGGGTGGCTCAATTGGTTAAGCATCCAACTTTGGCTCAGGTCATGATCTCACGGTTCGTGAGTTCAAGCCCTGCATCAGGCTCTGTGCTGACAGCTCAGATTCTGTGTCTCCCTTTCTCTCTGTCCCTCCCCCATTAGCCCTCTCTCAATCTCTCTCTCTCTCTCTCTCTCTCTCCCAGAAATAAATAAACATTAAAAATATTTTAATAAAAATATTTGAGAAAGAGTCAAGTTTGGGGTCATAATCACATTACTGTAGTATTTGATATGGTAAAAAATATAATTTTGTGTATATTATTAAAATGGAATATTTAAAGAAGAATTCTGACTGACTTACATGGAAACATAAACTAGAATTTTGGCTAATTGAATAACTTTCTTCAAAATTCAGTGATACCCCTGCCAAAATCAGAAGAGGAGAGAAAACTAGTTTATTTATGAGATATTTGCATTAAAAAACAAATTGGCATTTTTATAATCATGAAAAGTTATTATCTAATGTTATCTAACACAGAAGATTTATATAAGGAAGAGAGTCAACAATAGAAATTTAATTAAATATGAACTAAGAGTAAAAGTCTACCTAAAGTTTATAACATGAATATTTAAGATTAATTTTGCATGCAACAGATTGCAACAAAATTTCAATTAAGCATTTTTAATATTTAGAATTAATATACCAAACTGATAAGAAAATATAACAAAATCTGTAGTGTATTCATTCTTCTAAGAAATTATTTATCAAGCACAGATTTTGTATAATGCATTGTGTGAGATACTGAGGATATAGCAGTGACTATTTGAAAATCACATAAACATGAAAAAGAGAACAAGGAGAAGAGGTATCTCTTCTATCAAACTTGAGGGTAATGAATGAATGTCCTTACCAAATGATATTTGAGTTGAAATTTAAAAGAGTTAAATAAGCTCCCCAGAATGGAGCATTTTAGACAATTTGTATAAGAGCAGAATGAAACACATTTATTAAAGGACGTGAGAGAAAGTATAATTATCTGGAATTCAAAGAATGAAAATATATATTAGAAGGCAACAGAGTAGTGTAAAGATCACATGAAACTGAAAGGCTATCCTAATAATTTTGCTTTTAATCTTAAGAGCAAACATTAACCATGCAGAAAATTGTTGGTATCAGATTTATGTTTTGAGAAGACAACGTTATTATGTTCTAAGAGTTAGTTTAGGGTGACAAAAAGTAACATGAGAGAGACCATTCACTATTTGGTAAACTAGATAAAAGTAGTAGTTGGGGAGCTATAAAAAGGAAATGAATAGATGTGAAAACTATTCAGTAGGTAGATCAACCAGACCTGATTAACTGATTGATGACAGAAATACAAGGAAACAGGAGGTGTCTGACTGATGTATATAGCCAGGTGGAGGCTGATAGTATTTGTAGAGCTAGAGATTGCTGATTGAAGAACATGGAGGTAAGAGTTGGAGAACTTAAGTTCGTTTAGGACATGATAAAGGCACCATGTCTTTTAGACATTCAAGTGGCCATGTCAGACGGATGCTGCATATAAGTTGTGTGGTTTGTGGTAGAGAGCTGCTCTAGGATGTAAGCCTGAGAATGATTGGTGAGTAGTAGAAACTGAAGGGATGACTGTGGCTGAAAGGATCCAACCAGAATTATCGGAGAACAAATCATGAATTCCATTCTTGGTGATCTTAGTATTTAGAGGCTAAATGCAAAAAAATAACTCAGCAGAACTTGAGAGAGAATAGCCAAGGATGAAAGAGTTGAATCAGAAATATGGAGTGATGGAGTGTGGAGAGGGGGGGTATTCATTGTGTTATATCCCTCGATTTTGGTTACTTCAGAGGTGACTTCAGAGGTGGTCTTCCTGAAAGTTCCACAGAAATACATGCAAAACATTATATTCTTCAGCATTTTCTTATACTTAAAAGTCTGAATTTGGAATATAAAAGGAATCCTGAATCACGCCTCAGGGGATAATTTGCTATACAAATTCTCACCTTTAATAAACTATGTATACAAAACCAGCAGACCTAAGAGAAATCAGACCATATTCTGTTTTCCTCTATTCTAACAGCTACCCACTGCTATATATTTTACCTTAAGGAAGCAGATTCTAGCGGTGACTTGCCCATATCCCTTTGGCATACACCATTTCTGTGCACTGAGTAGGCTAGGAGTGCCAGAGAAATAATATCCCCTGCTTCCTCTAGAGTAATCCTCAACCAAACACTAATGAAAATTGGTAAATATTCCCCCAATACTGCTGTCCCTTGCTCATTGAATAAAATAACTCCAAGGCATTCCCTAAATTGTCTTTCAGAGTTCCACAGCAGAATCGAATCCCAGTTGCCACCGTGTAATCTGCTCAAGAGCACATTCTTTATTTACTTCCTTCTCTTCCTGTCTCACTTTCTAGTCCTTCCTAATATCATGTCCATAAAAGTCATGTCTGTTTGTTAGATTTCTGTATTTTTCAAGGTTCTCCAGAGAAACAAAACTAAAAAATGTATACATAGAGAAAGAGATTTATTATAAGAGATTGGCCTACACAGTTATGGAGGCTGCAAATCCCAAGACCTGCAGGCTGAATCACCAAGCTAGAGACCCAGAAGAGCTGATGAATTAGTTCCAAAGCCCTGATAAATTAGGAGAGCTGGTGTTGTTGAGTCTGAAGGCCAGTTGGTTCAAGACCTAGGAAGAGCAAATGTTGCAGTCTGAGTCCAAAACAGAAAAAAAAAAAAAAAAAAAAAAAAGCACAAATCTTCTAGCTTGAAGGCCATCAGGCAGAAAGAATTCTCTCATATTTGGGGAAGAATCATCTTTATCATTGTATCCAGTCCTTCAACTCATCTGACAAGGTCCACCCACATTAGGGAGTACAATCTACTTTACTCGGTCTGCAGATTTAAATGTTGATCTCTTACAAAAAATACTCTCAGCCCAGAATAATATTTGGGCAAGTATCTGGGTACCCCTTGGTGCAGTCAAGTTGACACATAAGATGAACCATGACAGACATTCAAGTTAACAAAACTCTCTTTCCTAGAATCACGTTTTTTCTGATCTTTCTTCTCCTACTTCTTTCTCTGGAATTGAAGCATGTTTTTATTTGTCAGGATGAAATTACATTTTGCTCTATGTATATATGTCAAAGTTCAAAAGACAATAGATCTCATTTTCCGAAATCATTCTGGCTCACACTTTGTACCTTTGTTACTCTGAATAATTATTAACATTTTGCCTTCACTTTTTAAAATGTCCTGCTTTGAAGAAAATATTACACAATCATCATAGTCAATCACTGATTCCATAAATGTGATGGTGATAATCGAAAAATACCGAAATGTAATTTAATCTTTTATTAATTTTTTTCTCTCCGGGATAAAAGTATGATGAATATGTGTCATATTTCCTCAAATTGTTTTTTTCTAGGTTATTTCACATTGAAACTATTTACCATAATATATATGGAATGCTTATTTGCAACCAGGATGTTACTGTTGATTATCATGAATATATTGTTGAAAGGACTGAAAAAGAATGTACTTAAACATACACATAATTTATAAGTATGATATAAGGTCTTCCTCAGGATCATAGCTTACTGTTTGATATATGACAAAGCTGAGTAATATATTCCTGACGGAAGAGAACAAACGTAAAAAATACCATTGATATTTATTTAATTGGATTCAAAGTCAGTGAGTATAACCCCAGACTGGTTCTGTTCTTCCCTCACAGCTAAGGGAAGGGAATATAATTGTGACTATCTGGAGCATTCAGAGCCTACTTTGTTTATTGATGAGGATGCAGAGATAAAAGCAGGAGGCAATCCCATGTTGGTTGGCATTCCATGTTATGTTGGCCACACAATGCCAGGACTAGCAATAAGCAAAACAGGTGTAAGAATAAGGAGATGTAATAAGCAACAAGCATATTTACATCATCTCTGTTTTTAAGCTTATTTCCAGGTCTTCTATAAAATATGTGTCTCTGTGTTGATTAAATAATATCAAGGCATGAAAATTATGTCTTGAAGTATTTTTGAATCCTCTTGCACCAAGGATTATTTTATTGTTAAATGGAAAGAAAATGTTTTATAATAAGTATGTTGTAGCATATATAATAAAATGTTAACTTTCTAGTAATTTTCAAAATAACTATTTTATGTTATTTGCTAACTGTACTTTAGAGCAAACAACATGTGCCCAAGTGCTGCATTACTGCATTTTCAAAGATTCTGCATAATGCTTCTGAGACAGTATGCTTATGATCCTGAGTTCTTTGTGGGTTCTTTATTGTGATTCCTGGTATTCCAGCCACAGAAAGTGCTGTTATTCAAATGTACATAAATGCATTCATTCGGTCCATAATAATAGTATTCATAGCCATCTATAAATAGTGGAAGAAACAATTGTATGGAATGCTTGATATTCATCTGAACCACCTCTTGCAATTTCACTTTTATATTCAGATTTCAGAACTAATACAACAGTGGTGCTCATAAGATATTCAGATATTTTTGTCAGCTTTTCACAGACTGGATGGTAGTTTCTTAAAACTGTATACTTTGTTTCACTAACTTTAAGAAATTCCTTGTAAATATAAACAATAGTAAGAAAAAGCCTGAGCCTACACTATGATGTGCAACTATTAAATATATCGTTTTATGTGTATTTAGTGACATTTCTTAATATTCCTTTCCATCTTTTTTTCTAGATACACCATCAGTTAAGATTATACCATCCACTCCTTTTCCACAAGAAGGACAGCCATTAATTTTGACTTGTGAATCCAAAGGAAAACCACTGTAAGTGATTTAATGAGCAATAAAGTTTTTCACTTTTTCTCCTATACTCCTTTGATTTCAGGCTTTAACGGCAGAAATCCACTGTTTTTGTCTTTTCTTGGTGGGCAAAGTGATCTCTAGCACAGAAATCCCCTGAACCATGTCTTCATTAAGTATCTGTGGAAGATTGGTCTTTTACTTTGTCATCCAGTGAAGTTTCTGGGAAGGTTTCCAGCTGTGATTTTTTTCCCCTATTATTTCTAGTAAGATATTTCAACCTGAAAGGAAAGTGGGCTTAATCAGTCACTGTTTACATCATGAGACTGATAGAAGTTACACATTGCTGAACTTACTTCTCCCATGAAAATCTTTGAAAATGTTGAAACATCCTCAAAATATCCCCAAGTTTTAAAATTAAATAGGAACTCATTTTTGTACTAAGGGAAATCACACCTACATTTCCAAAGTGGCCTCCATGATATAATTTGTAAATGTAATATGCTTCAACATTTTCACTTGTAAGGAGAATTCATTATAAGAATATACAATCCTAGTATCACTTCAACTTTAATATTTTACTTTTTGGCATTCATGTTTATAAAGATGAACCATGTTTATAAACATAGAAAAATTCAAAAATTTTGAATTTATACAAAATTCAAGTGTGAGTTATCCAAATATGGATTACTCAAAGACTATTTGACAGCAATTTGATCATTCTAATATAGTAACTGTTTGGACTGAAATGAAATGTATTTGATTATTTTAAAACTTTCAATTGATTTGTATTTCTGTTTAAATTTTAAGAGTAGAAATTTAATTGTTTTCAGTATATAACGATAGGGGGGTTGCTTCTGTGTAAATCAAGTTAAATTCCTAAAAACATTATTCCTAATAATATTTTTATTTAAGTATATATTTCTTATTATTCCATGAGAAATTTTTCTAAAGGAATTTTAAGGCAGAAGCCTGAAAAATCAACTCCTCAATTATGTGATATTATAATTTTTAACACACTAAGTGAATTCACACTTTCTTTATCAAAGTTTTGATATTTTAAAACTGTTCTCTCCTCCAGTAATTTTTTCCTGAGGCTATAAATAATACTGATTTAAATAATATTCAGTAAATCCATTATTTTTCTTCTTTTAAATAATACTTTAGGCCTTTTAGACCTTGAAAGGAAAATTTTTTTCATAGTAGCTTGCTACATATATACTGTGCAATTCTCTTATAAATACAGTTCTCACCTTCTGGTAAGCTTAAATTGCTTATAGAAAACATTTTTCTACTGCAGTATGCTGAGGGTAACCATGCATTTTGGTATTATAGCTTTAACAAGAACTTTTGGCTACAGGCTCAGTACTTTCAACTAGAGAAAGAAGTGGAATAGACTTTAGCCAGCTTCAGACATGCTTCAACCCTAATTTCTTTAGTCCTGATTCTGTGTATCTAACAACAGAATTTCTTTCCTAACTTTTCCTCCATCTCCCCTCCTGTTGCTTTCACTTTATTATTTCCCAAGTCAGTCTGTTCTCTCGGTTTGCTTCTGCTTCTATTGTTATTTTGTTTTGTTTTGTTTTGTTTTGTTTTTGCTTTTCTTCCTCATAATCTCAGAGGTCAGCATACTTATGAGGACACAAATGGACTCAGGATGAGGGCAGAGCAAAGGGGTTTTGCTTTTACCTTTTCATCACTGATCTGCCCCAAAGCACGTATGTGTACATTTGGAATATATGTACAACTTAGGCAATTAAATGAGATGAGGATGGGAAATAAACATATCCCTGTTCAAATAATATCTAATTACCTGTCAATGACTATTCTTTGTTTCCATATCTACTTCCAACAATAGAAACAGCATTTAATGTATGTGAATAATTTGTTTGGGAGGTCTACATAATTGGGTCTTTAGGTAGTCCATTTTCCCAAGCTCAGATATGGCTGAATGATTTATGGTTGTGTCTTTTGTACGTCTCTGCTACAGTTACCTAGAAATAAGCATGGGTACGTATAACTCCTCTGCACTGCAGATGGACAAAAAGTACAGTAGCCTTTCATTTATTTATTTTACTTGGTAATACAAAGCTTTCAGAGGTTTGGGAAATAGAAAATGTTACTTTTAGCAGAAAAATCCTGACTAATATCATATCACTTTGGAAAAAGATAAAGAAAATAAAAAGGTGCTCCTTATTTTACAGAAAAGAAAACTAAATATCAACAATGTTAACCAGATTTCCTTTATTCATCCAAGTTTAAAATGGATGACTCAGGATTTAAATTCAGTTCAATCAGTGCCCCAGACTTATATTCCTTCAGCTATTTTCTGCTACTTCAATTGCTGAGTTTAAATTGTCACTTGTGTTAGCCACAGTAACTTTTGAAGAACTAGAATGGGCCCTACAATAATGTTTAGCCCTGAAGATGAACCACTGGATGCCTAAAGGTGAAAAACTGGCTAGTCTCAGGAAATAGTTTCCTTTTGCCACCCTTTTTTATCAGACCTTTTTCTATATGCATGTCCTTTCGGGAAACTTGACAAAATCCTAACAAACTGACTGTTTCTAGCAGGAGGTTATAACCACATAAAAATGAAATATCCCTAATTAGTATAATATCTTTTGGTGACTATCTTATAAGCTCCCTAAGAGTTAAAATGGTCTTTCTATTTTGTCTTTATCGTCATAGTTCCTAATGTTATATTCTGTATGCTATAGTCTACAAATAAATGTGTATTAACTAATTCTCTTGTATTGTACACTCATTTGCAATTTCCTTTATATCATTTTCTTTCCTTGCAGACTGGCAGGCATTGACATTAGAGAAATAACCATCTTCTTTGAGTCCTTCCGGTCGTTAGACCACTGCTTCTCTTCTGTTCTTCCGAATCATCTTAAAATCCACTCTTCTGCATTTTCAAACTATCATTTCTAATAAATGAAGGCATTAACCTCTTTAAAGACAGGGTAATTCCTAGCCTCTCTTTAGTTTTATTCTATCCCCAACAGTGCCAGATGAGGCAGATAGGACAAAAAAAACAAGGAAAGACTGAAAAGAAATCATTGGATTTTTCCCAGAAGGATATCTTAATGATCATAAAGAAAACAGTCTCACTAGAGCAAATAGAACAGAAGGCAAATTGAAATGGATTAATCAGGGAATTAGTAGGCGGTGGCAAAGTAAAGAAAATGGAAAGACCACCCATTTCAGAAAATGAATCATGAAATGTAGAATGGAATGAGAAAAGAAATTTATGTCAAACAGAGTTTTAAAATAAAAAGAAGAAGAGTAGAGAGATTGTCCATATTTTGAGATAGAATTTTTTTTTTTAAAAAACCTAAAGAATGGGAGAGAAAATGAGATATGTGATTATCACATACACCCAGTGGGCAGGCTCAAATTTCCTGTCTTACTCTGGCAATCACTGTCAAAGTTCTCCTCTGTTACTTTGGAGGCTTTACACCTGATTCCCCATTTTGTTATTTTAAAACCACTAAGAAGTTACACCATTGGCTTTTCTTTCTATTGGTTATGTAAACACTTAATTTCTACTATCTTTAACATTTGCCTGATCCACCTTGACTAAGCAGTTGAAAATTAGAAATGGTTAATGGACATATGATTACTTTTCATCTTGTACCTTTAATCCAGGATCAAATCTTTACTGTTTCTTAAAAAAAATTTTGAGAGACGCCTGGGTGGCTCTGTCGGTTAAGTGTCTGACTCTTGATTTTGGTTGAGGTCATGACATCATAGTTCATGAGTTGAGCCCTGTGATGGGCTCTGTGCTGACAGTGCTGAACCTGCTTGAGATTTCTCTCTCTGTCTCCATCTCTCAGAATATACAAATAAACATTTAAAAAAAAATGTGACTAGTGTATAATTTCCTGAAGAATGAGTTATTCAGTTATTAGGCATATGAATAATAGACAAAATAACACCACTATCTTTTGTATAAATCATAACATGATGGCCTGGTTCAATTTGTATTGAGACTCATGTTCCTAACCTGCCCTCTATGCTAATGTTCTTTTCCTTGTTCTAAATGTGAGGGCCCCAGTGACTGTTTATGAACAATCATGCCTTATTTGCCTGCTTTGGACGGAAGCCTTTTGCTGTTTTCCTGTGGAACAGCTGCATAACTTGGGCCAGGACCAAATTGTTCCACTTGACATTACTATAGAGGCATTGTATTCTTTCCTTAAAAGAGAGATTACTGTACATGTCTGTCTATTGTTTTAATTTTAGTTTAAAGTGAGGACAGAGCTAATGCCAACCACTTTTCTTTCAAGTCCCCAGAGTTTTTGCAACCTTCTTCTTTCTTTGGCTGAATTCCCAGACAGCTTTCAGGCAGCAGCATTCTCCATTTATAGAAGTGGAGAAAGAAAAAAGCTGTTACATTACATTAAAGTCATGACCTTAAAAGGTATGGGGTGGCCCCCCACACGCTATAGCTAAAGAGTCATCATTTATTTTAATCAAATGCTTAACACTATGTAAATTTGCTTCACAAAAGCAGTGAGACATTTTCAGTCAAATAAATGTATATTTGGCATTTAATCTCTAAAAGAAAATAATTATAGGTATGGATAAAGTTTTCTGTGTATCCTGCATGATGTTTATGTTTTCTTACTATTATACTTTCTGGTAACCACAATTTTTCTTATGTTTTGGCATAAATCTAGTATATATGATAGCATGGCACATAACATCCCCTGTTCTATACAAGAAGAAAGATTTTAATCTTTTTTAAAATGTTTTATTTATTTCTGAGAGAGAGAAAGACAGCGGGAGCAGGGGAGGGTCAGAGAGAGAGGGAGACACAGAATCCGAAACGGGCTCCAGGCTCTGAGCCGGCTGTCAGCAGAGAGCCCTACACGGGGCTTGAACCTATGAACCTTGAGGTCATGACCTGAGCCGAAGTCGGACGCTTAACCGACTGAGCCACCCAAGCGCCCCAGAAAGATTTTAATCTTTAGGAAGACAGATCACATACCATATAACAACTACGAGGTATTTTA